TTTGGTTAATGTTATTAATTTTATTGAGGTTGTTTATTGTAACGTGGGGTATTATATTCGGAAATGGGCTGAAAATTATGGTCTAAGAATCGCCAATGAGATTAGATAATAATCTTTGATTAAACATACTTTCATGTCAATGAACTCTCTTTACGGATGATTTAAAATGGAGATTATTCCCAAAATATAGTAAAATGACTAACCAATTAGTATAACATATGGTGACTAATTTGGATTGATGTGTTTTGAACTTACAAATATACAACCTACTATTATTAACACCTGGGATTCATTTTTAAACACTTTTAGTAATTTGAAAAGTCTATATTCTTACACCACTGCAAAATTCTCTTAACCGTATATTATTAAAACGAAACTCACTTCACTGTGCATGTTTCTGCACTGCATATATCAACAAGACATCCCTTAATCTCTTTTTTCTCAGTGAATGCACGTATCACTGATCTATTATGACCTAAATTGTATATTACAGGAATTTGGAAAAACGTGTAATCCAAATGACATAATTATTTTATGTGACATAATTTTTTTTTAAATTTGATATTGTAGATTCATTTAGTTCGAATAACTTTGAAATACTTTTAAAGTAGAATTATCTGTTTATTCGCAGATAAAAACTAACTGTAAATCTAATTGATATATATTAGTTGCATGAATATTTCCGATTGTTTAGGACTGCAGTTAATCAGTCTTATTTTTGGCATATGTGCATTCTATGCGAATTGCCTCGATATTTCCATTAAATCACAAGCATTTCATGCGGAGATGGAGCCAGAAATGCGCGTTTCGTTCAAATTGAGACCCAATAGCTAAGTGAACAACGCGTTATCGTTTGAAGCGAAAGGTACCGGTTTAGGGTCCCGGAGTGAACATCAACTATAGAATGCAGGCACATCTAGCTGACGAGTCTCAAACAGGGCGGAACGTATGTCCTAAATTCCACTGCTGACAACCATCCATCTCTGTTTAAATATCTGTAAACTTATCTAGCTTGTATACTAGTGTCACACATGTTTCGAAAAGTAATTGCTAACCTATCCTATTCTATTTGGATCATTTTGTAATAACAATATCCTTTTTCTAAACTTCGAAAAGTCTGAGAATGCCACGAGTGATTAAAACAATTATTATTCCAATTTGATTACCCCACTGCGAAGCTATTTTTGGATACATATACATCGTCGTAATATGAGGATAAATTATTTTCCAGATACCTTGAAGGAATTCCCTACCTTATTACTATTATTATTGATAGACATAAACTAACGTGAGTACTACAAAATGCTTTATATTTTATGGATTGTATTAATGTATACACAAACGTTGACGAAATTGATTCAAAATTACTTTGAAGAATGTTGGATTTCAATAAGGTTGATTACAAAGTAAATGACCTTTTTAATATCAATCATTTTGACTTTTACCTGCTAAAAAGGTTAAAAATAATGATTGCACCTAGATATCTGTGAATACTAAGTTTCGGTTGAATCCCCCCTCACCAAGTGTAGTAGCTAAATTTGTTTAGAAGGAAATTAAGATAATCATGTTAACATCTCAAACTTAGTCACATTGGCTTTTGTAAAACATAGATTAACGATTGGAACCTTGAAGTGGTGTGATTATATTCTCATTTATCTAATATTCTGATTTTATTTGAGTAGTTAATTTCTCTTTAGCTCTCTCACAGCTGAAAAAGTTATAAACACTTTCTTTGATCAGTTGTAACAAAGTCCCGGTGCATATTGCAATCTAATGCTGTTTTCTTCCAGTAATTTTAATCTCATTACTTGGATAATATTATTTTAAATACTTGCGAAATTCTAAAATGACAGTAATATTGAGCTTCGGAAAACAAAAGATGAGAGCATAACGCTGTTATGACTCATACCCTGTCATTTATCACGTGACAAACTCACCATTCAGTATAAGCTCATGTGACCTCGTTCCTGTGCTTAACCAATAATACACTAACCAGCATTAGCAGTCTTGAGTTAACTCTGAGTCCTTACTAGTCCTCTGTATAGTAAATTCTCACCTAACCCCTCCAATCCAAACATAAATAACAGCCTCCGCTATATGAATCGTATATTTTAGATGTACATGGTTTATACGCAACCAGATCAAACAGAATCACATCATAAAATGGAAAATAATAATGGTACAAGACCAAGCCAAAATTGGCTGAGTACAGGAGACTGTAATAGATTAAGTATGGTAAATCATATAACAGTAGTCAATAGGTCACATGAAAGCTTATGATAGAATACCAATATGTATTACCTAATTACTTAACAATTATCCAATGAGAATATATGTAATAATAGTCCATAGATAAGTCCTAGCATTTACCATTCATTTATTCTTGGTTCGGATGTAGCAAACGCAGTTGGAATTCCTCATTATATATCCTTATTTCTAGATTATATGACATTTAGGTTTCTATTCAGTCAATTATTTCGATGAATTTTTCGATTGTATACGGACCAACCGTTTATGCTGACAGACTTATATCTCTTCTTGTTCTCTTGATTTCTCGAATCTTTATATTGTATGATTACACAACCCCGATAACAGTACACCCTTAGGATATGATAACCCCCAGAGTATTAGCATATACTTTTTATTTCAGTTGACAACAATGATAAACAAAGGTACTTTCAGTTGTAATAGCTTATATATGAGACTAACCATTGACTTCCTCTCCTTCAAATAAATGTCATGACAAAAAAGTAAATGTTCATCACCTGATGAGAATGTACTTCCTGAGACAACTACTAATCCACAATACTGAAATTCTAAAATTAGGCAACCACGTAAGGAGCTTGATGACAGCAGTGTTGGTTGCTATGTCAAAGCCCATACAGCTTATTCTAGCTTTCGGACAGACCAGTTTATTCATTTTTTCGAGTCACAATTTTGATCTTGTTAATTATTCGCTTATCAACCTTGGCTGTTTTTATGTGAGCATGTGTGTGCATTTCCTATCTTACTCATTACATGTCTATAACCTATTTTTGTCTGACTATAAATATAGATCCATGCTTAATTCAATGAAGCTGGCTCACTCGCCTTCTCCAGTACATGTCATTTAGTTTCACTTGTCTGTTCCGAACAACGATCGTACGAAACACATGCATTCAAAAAATCCATTCCTGTATTTGACTTAATTAGTCCCGTTATTCACCAACGCGATTTAAGTCGATAATCATATGCGAGAATAACAATCATTCGTCTGACCTACCTGCAGTTAAGTATAGGGCTACAAAAACAGTAGTCAGAGCGGAGATTTATAGACGAATAGTAAGAGGTGAAACCATCTGAATTACTGGATTAGCGCTTACGTATTCTAAGGTTAGTTAGCATAACTACTTAGACTAGAAGGGAAATCCTTAACTTATTACACCTAAGACTGGTCTGTCAAACTAAAGGCCTTCCTCTATGTCAAGATTGATAAAAATCAGCACTTGGCCCGCTTGTTATTATAACAACTCAGCTAGTGTTAGTAATTTCCCACACCCCTAATTCTTTCGAATTTCGCAAGGATGTATATGTTGACTTGTAGCCACATAGCCCAAATCTATTTTCTTTGGTACTATATATACGGTAATGCTTAGTCATGTAGTTATTCTTTGTTAGTCATAAAATCTCTCCTGATTTCTGGTTTTCCCTTCAATGGGTTGTCGACCTTGACGTATTGCTGTGGTTTATTTGTCTGGTCTATCTAGTTCGAGCAAATTCCATTTGTATTAGAAGTATTTCTTAATCGTTCTTACTCAAAGAATAATCCTATATATTCTCAATTTGTACAACCATACAAACTATTAGTATTTAGTCTTTTGTCTAAGTTTTGGGGAGCAAATTACCTGAGCTTGATCCTAGAACAATAACATTCAAACGTACTTTCTAAATAATTTCTAACCGCATTAGAGATAAAACTAGTCATGTTTTGACAAAAGAATGTCTGGGGTTAACTTCGCCGCAAACATTGAGACGGTATGGATATCCCACTTCAAATTGGCCATGATTACAAAGAATACACATATTACAATTAAACCTTAATTCAATACTACTTCTTCCATTTTATCACAATGGCAGTAGTTATGATTTTGCTGGACGACGTAAACGTACATTTTTACCACAATCATTATCTTAAGTTCATAAAACGGAGTGTTGCATAACCTACGATGCTCTTGTTTCAATTTGACTTTCGTATTCGTTCCACGTATATCTTATTAGTGCTTAGTTACCTAAGTCTAGTGTATTGACCTTGGATTTCGGCAGACACTGAGCTTAAACTAATCGATCGGTAGTCATTTATTATTACAGAATTTATGTGTAAGTTTGCTTTTTCGACAAAATAAATAAGTAAACAATCACCCTCTATCTTTAATCGTTGACTGGGTCTGGTTTCATCTAGGATGACAAATAAGGTTTGTATCAGTAGTGTAGCCCGGGTAAAACAAATACATTAAAAGTATTTACTGGAGGCATCACGTTACTATGATACTTAAAGTAACACTCGTTGATCATTATTAAACTAATTTTTAACATGGACATTATGTTATATATCGGTAGTACACGGACAATAAGGTTCAGTTTCTTAAAAATGCTGAAAACAGTCAATCCCATAACTTGAAAAACAATCAAAATTTTCGGAATGCATATTTCACTCTTAAATTAAAAGTATTATTTTATGATTAGTTTATTTTATTGCCTAAGCTCATTCGTTTTCGACTTACACGTGAAAGAAAATTGATTGCTTTAACTATCAAACCAATATGTTACTTAAAGAAATCTGAAGTTGATCCCCTCGTGAGTAAAACCATTAGAAGGACCAATAAATAGACTTTTAGATCAATGAATTCGCAGCATATGGTAGCAGTACTATCACAACTACTAAATAGTTTATTCCACCCAACTTTGCGAAGAAATCCACTGCACATCAAACCACAAATAGATAAAAGAACTAACGTCAAGTTCATGACTAACACGAAGTATTTATTTACAAAATTCTTACCAACCAGAAAAGTCACGAAATATTATCAATGCAACCACAAAGAAAAGACATAATCAGAAGAGATCATTTTGTCTATTCCAAGCAAACGAACAGGAGCTTAGTCTATAATGTTCCATTTACGACCTGGAAAAAACAAATGGTATTGAAACGCAAAAGCTCTTTAGATTTTATGTAGACCAGAATAAAACAAAGGTAAAATATCCACGGCAACCTAACACTAATGTGTACTACGTTTTTACGCTTACATCTGAGGAAAATCAACGACGAAACCAAAACTAGGAGGGACATAATAGCAAAAAATGTATGGAAGCTAAGAGATATTGGAAGTCTCAAGACCTAGTAGACAACTAGTGCAGATGAGTTGCTCCGACTGGATTTGAATTATATCTAAACTCTGTTGATAAATTAGTACACAAGCAGGTATGAACATGCATATGCAAGATGAGAAAGAATGATTAACAAAGTGATTACATTACCCCAAAATATCTATCAGCAGTGTGAACATATACGTCAACATTGGAAAAATACTAACTCGAAACCAGATCTTGCAAAAACGGTTATTTGAAAAACCCTGAAACGATATATGGTACCATGTAGGCCATTTCAATAGCCTGGGGAACTTTCCCATAACGAACCATAATATATATATATATATTTCAATGACATAAAATTCACGACCTAAAGGGCTTTTCTGGTACACTAAGCCAGTAAAGCTACAATAAAACAAAACTCGATCAAATATTGGGCGGGAAATGAGCCTAATTTCTCTGCTTTGATCAAACCGACAAAATACAGCTAAATTGTTTGGAAACTTTAGCTCGACTGTAAAGGGAGCTTTTCTGAATAAATATTTTGGATCAAGTCGCTGCTGATCATATATTAATCGCGTTTTAACTATAACAGTTTGAATCAACAGAAATTAGCTGGTTATCCGACAAGTGAATTTGCTAATGACATGGTATCATCAGGTTTATACTCTCATCAATAGGATTCCTGAAAACATACTTGAATAGAGTTCACCAAATTGTTCGACCCCCGGTGATATTAGTGAACCTAGGGTTATATGAGAAGGAAATGTAGCTTGACTTACATAGGAATACTGTCAGGTACAAGGCTGGGTTCAGGAGATGCATAGTCCTGAAGGGACAGTGGCAGAACAGGGAGAGATATGCGGCATTCTACGTTAACAGGGTCGTCTCTGTTTTTTTCAGAAAAATTAACGTAATGAGAATATTATGCAGAATTACATTTGTATTTGAAAATCCTCTTCTTGATTCAGAATCGATGCTACCTCGCAGACTATTGAGCATGGCCTAGTCACTGCTGAAGCGTACTCAACTGGAAGTGAACTCAAAGGTTCTACTTGCACACAGCATGCCGTTAGTGAAATAAAATGACCAGTGTCAGTCAATTTTGGGAGGGCTATGAGGAACTATTTTTATGTATGTATGACTACCTAGGGCAGACAAGCTTCGACATTTTCCTTTTATGGGTGACTTTCTCATACATGATACTCGACTATAGCTTTTTGACGGTGAAAACGACTTATCTTGAGTAGTAAACCCATACCTGACCATAACCGTCCGGGACTCAAATATCCCGCCACGGTCCAAGGGCGGAGGTGCTTAAACTGAAGTGCATTCATTAATCAGTATTAGGGATAGGAGGTCTATCGACCTTTATTGATCCTTGCAGTATATGGCACTGTAGAGGTTCAATCTCGTTTAAAAAATATACCAACAGAAAGTGCTGATATCATATGTTCTGGTAGAGAATTCCAGTAATTCACCACTGGATGCGAGGAATGAAACTCCAGACGTAAACGATTTGATCTTGAATTTTGAACTTTCTTAGAATGTCTACTCACATGACCAGTCCTAGACGGAAGGAAAGGATCAGACAATTTAATACCATGGTCATCGTTCAGTATACGAGAAGCTAATATTGGATCACCCCGTATTCTACAGTAAGATAACGGTGTCTAAGTGTGTCTTCATAAGGTAGACCAGATAGGCCTTTTGCCATCTTAGTTCCTCTCTGTCGAACTCGTTCCAGTGCATCCGCCTTACACCTGAAACTAGGACTCGTTGCTTGAATCACATATTCAAAATGTGGTCGCATGAGAGTCGGTATAATATTCAAAACGTTCCAACATCCAAATACTGGAAAGACCAACGAATAAACCATAATAACATGTAGCCTTCTGCAGCAGCAGCTTTACAGTGGCTGGTAGTTTTTAGCTCACTGCTTTCTATGACTTAAATTTTTGTGGCATCTTACTTTGGTTAACACGAATTCATATATTGCGTTGTGATACGATTCATCATAAATACTTAATTGCATCACCACACTCTTGTTGGAGTATATCTTAAAATGTTGTGTCTATGGAACAATATGAAAGTTAAACTCTGCACTATCTCTTCATATCCAGTCATTATGCAGTAGCAAATAAATCATCAAAACGAATAGTTTTGTAAGTCTGCGACACTTGATGCTGGCCTCATTAGTTCTACTGAACGCATGTAGCTGAAGGTGTTCCGTCGCGCATCTGTGCCAGATCACGAGTTGTTACGCCGTGTTACACATCCCTTGCAACTGCTAGTCAGCTTAAACCGATCACTTCTTAACATTTCAATAACCATCTAAACATTTCTTCGAACCACTTTATTTCTGACTTCTGACGTGATTGGTATACTTCCATTATTGAGGCGTTACATGTAAAGGCGTTGTCTAGTTCCGACCAAACAGTTATCTACTGATGTGTGTGTGCAGTCGACTGGACAATCTAGAATAATCTGTGCTTTGCTTTTCTGATGGTGGATTCCTCGAGCATCAATAGTACTTACTTACTTACTTACGCCTTTTACTCCTCGTGAAGGAGCATAGGCCGCTCACCAGCATTCTCCATCCAACCCTGTCCTGGGCAATCCTTTCAAGCTCTTTCCAGTTCTTATTCATCTTTTTCATATCTGCTTCTATTTCCCGACGTAATGTGTTCTTTGGCCTTCCTCTTTTCCGCTTCCCTTCAGGATTCCAAGTTAGCGCTTTTCTCGTAATGCAGTTTGATGATTTCCTCAATGTATGTCCTATCCATTTCCATCGTCTTTTCCTAATTTCCTCTTCAGCTGGAAGCTGGTTGGTTCTCTCCTACAAAAGGCTGTTGCTGATGGTATCCGGCCAATCGATGTTGAGTATCATGCGTAAACAGCTATTAATAAATATCTGTACCTTCTTGATGGTGGTTGTTGTAGTTCTCCAAGTTTCAGCTCCGTACAGTAGAACTGCCTTGACGTTGGTATTGAAGATTCTGACTTTGATATTGGTTGAAAGTTGTTTTGAGTTCCATATGTTCTTCAGTTGAAGGAATGCCGCTCTAGCTTTGCCAATCCTCGCCTTGACGTCTGCATCTGAACCTCCTTGTTTATCTATGATGCTTCCCAGGTATGGGAAGGATTCTACGTCTTCCAGAGTTTCGCCATCACGAGTGATTGGATCGCTGTTCTCCGTGTTGTGTTTGAGGACCTTGGTTTTCCCTTTGTGTATTTTGTGGCCCACAGATGCAGAGACTGCTGCTATGCTGGCTGTCTTTATCTGCATTTGTTTGTGTGTATTGGATAGGAGGGCTAGGTCATCTGCGAAGTCTAAATCGTCTAATTGGTTCTGAGCTGTCCATTGTATGCCGTAGTTTCCCTCAGATGTCGAGGTCTTCATAATCCAGTCGACCACCAGAAGAAACAGGAAGGGAGAGAGTAGACAGCCTTGTCTTACTCCGGTTCTTACTTGGAATGCATCTGTCAGCTGTCCTCCATGCACTACTTTGCAGTGTAGTCCGTCGTATGAGTTCCGGATAATGTTGACAATCTTCTCAGGAACTCCGTAGTGTCGAAGAAGTTTCCATAACGTTCTCCTATCTACACTGTCAAATGCCTTCTCATAATCAATGAAGTAGATGTAGAGTGACGAGTTCCACTCAATTGATTGTTCGACGATGATCCGTAGTGTCGCAATCTGGTCTGTGCACGACCGGTCCTTACGGAATCCAGCTTGTTGATCTCGAAGTTGAGCGTCAACTGCGTCTTTCATCCTGTTCAGTAACACTCTGTTGTGTGTCCGAGAAAATCCAAAACGTCGTTTCCGATTTGATATTTCTGAATGCTTTAGGTAATTCCTCGTTTCTGCAGTCGTTAGAAAATAAAGTACGATGCTGTATATGAGATTCTCCGTTCGGACTTGCTCTAAAGCTGTTCTCTATGTATATGTGTACGTAGTTCAGAACCTAAAAAACATCGTCGATTAATTGCTGAAAGTCTGTGCAGTATATCTCTAAACTGTAGGGCGTGCACAAAAATTCGTAGAGTTCGGTTTGGGGTGATGACAGAGGCCTAAGGAATATCGTCTGAAGTGATTGTGATTTGATAGTATGCATTGACCGAAAATCAGTCGTACTTTTCCCGGTTACTGTCAGATCGAGGATGCACCCAAGTGGTAACGATCGTATTCATCACCAGTTGGATGGAGAGCTCTCGAAAGAACAGGTGGTTCTGTGGCTGCGCTGCGGTGTGTAATATTGCCAGCTCCTGATGGAACCTTTGGTTGCATTTGCAACAGTTTGTGGTACCAACAAAGTATCCATTTATAGAATGGTTTGGTCATATGCCTAACATCTACTGGGGACGAACTACAGCCAGAAACTAAAGTCCAACGAACAGATAATTTATTTTCAATGGTTGAGACCATGAATCAGTTGAAGCTAGACCACCATAGAAAATGGGGGAGCACTGGACGGCCGTTTCGTCCTGTTGTGGGACTGCTCAATAGAGGGCATTCACGACCCCCCCCGTGAAATCCGAACTCGTGAGCGAGCGCTTAACCACCACACCACTGAGCCGGCGTCCGACGGTGTTAATGCCAAACGTCAACTGCTGAGGAGTCCCACAATAAGACGAAACGTCCGTCCAGTGCTTCCAGGTATTTTATGGTGGTCTAGACCCAACTGACTCATAATCTCAACCGCTGAAATTACTATAATATTCACAACACCCCTTTCCGATAGATAATTTATTGTTGTTGTCTACTACCCCCCGTTTATTAGGGCCGATGAGTTGATTGTGGTGCTGTAGTAGGTCTGTACCACTGACTGACATAGAAACACCTACAACGACAAAATCCAGGGAATACGTTTGTGTAAACCGAGTCTTAAATGCTCATTCCGTGTATCGTACGTGACAACCGGTTTCCTATTTGCTGTCTGTAACCTGAAAACCAGTTCATATTGATGGTTATTGGAATTCGCTGAAAGTACGCCCACTTCTGCGTTAGTGTCGACTAAATAGCGAACTTTTGCAGTCACGTCAGTGATATAAAATAGACGGGTATGTTCTCTAGGCACGAACGCCGTTATTGCGCGCCGGCAGAGAAGACACTCGAATTGTTTCTTGTATCACACGGCCTGAAGACTGGGAAACTGAAGGGCTTTCTGCAATTTCTAAAAAAATCAATATTTATTGTGGTCCCAGCATCAATCAGGATTATCTTCCTCTCGTGGGCTAGAGACTGATCCTTTATGCGACGAGGTTCTTAGGGTAGTTTGGGAGCGTCTACGTTTATGACGAACATTAAGACAATAAGTGAGAGTATGACAGAGGTACGAAACGTCACTTTGTGTTGTTCGAGGCTTTTAGTTGACAGAATAAGTCTCGGCGCTGGGGTTCTGTTGATCTCCGGAATCCGGTCGACTGGTGAAACCAGTTCGCCTACTGAGTTATTTTGAATGGAGACAGAAACCGCTTGAACTTATTGGGGGGGGCTTAAATAAGACGTGCTGTCTAAACAGGGTCTCGCTAAAATTCCGTTGACCAATAACCACTCGCATGCAAGGGATGTGTAACACGGCGTAACAACTCGTGATCTGGCACAGATGCGCGACGGAACACCTTCAGCTACATGCGTTCAGTAGAACTAATGAGGCTAGCATCAAGTGTCGCAGACTTACAAAACTATTCGTTTTGATGATTAATTTACTGCTTTAATGATAGTTAGAATATTCTGAGACTTGAAATTACAAACTGAACTGATGTAACAAGCGCACATAATTGTTTTTAAGAATTAGGGTTTGATGTGCATGTTGTCACGACTAGTTAGTTTGTCGTTTTTCATTTGAATTTATACATCAAATAAACACATGTCATGATATATTGCAAACATCTACGGTCTCGAACGGTATGATTCTGAAGAAGATTTTGAGATTTATATATTGTGAAGTTAGTGAGAGTTCGTTTCCGAAAATGAACATTAGTCATGCTTGTGATAAGCTGGTAAATCACCAAAGCATCTACCTTATACATAAAGGCATGATTTGCAAGACTCTCAGAATCACTGAAATGAGCTGGAACTAAATCCCACAACTATATTCTGATCTTATGAGAGCGCTGAAAAGTCAAATTAGTCCACGTAAAGTCGAAGATAGAGAATATAGGAAGCTGTCACGAATCTTTAATCCCTAAAGTTTTTAAAGTTATAGCATTTTAAAAAATCGGAATTTAGTACATGTGTGAAATATCTTACTTCAAGCTTAGCAATGGTCTGAATATTGAAACGTTGAATCGACAAGCAGCTGCGGATTTAAA